ATCTTATAGTATTTCGTTAGCAAATTACATAGTATAGAAGAGAAATGCGAAAAAAAATACTCTAGTTGGCCTTCTTTCACTGCTTCTCAGAATTTATGACGTAGACGGTTTTTTTAAATAATGCATAGTTTTCCAGAGGTTTACGTTTTTGACCCTCCTAACGGTTTACCGCCTCATCGTGGCTGGGAGGTGTTTCTATGTGTCGGACTGCAATGTATAGCAGGGAGATTCGTTCCCCGGCAAGGTCTCTCAAGCTGGAATGGAGTCCGGCGTTTCCATCAGGAAGCCTAGCCAAGAGTAAACCAATACCAGAATCCACCACCGTCCTGGTATCAAACTAGTCACATGGTGGCAAATTCCCTCTGATGCACATGAGCTGCGATTGCCTGTGGTAGTGAAGACCTGGGGCAGACTTTGGCCAGGCTGACCTCAGGACACCAGGTAACCATAATGGCTCAGCCAGCAAATCTCCGAAAAATGGAGATTTTACTGGCGCCCGCACCACCAGTGAGGACTTGTTGTTAAAGTATCAAGAAAGTATATTTCTTGACAGAACTACTTTCTAGAATGATCCTGATGCTCAACATTTCTAGTAGTGTCAGCGCTCACACCATTATTATTTTTCCCATTTCTTTAAACTCTTGTAAAATAAATTAGAACACGTGTAGTTATTTTTGTCATGAATCTTTATTAAACATTGGAAGCCAAATCAAGCATAAACGTCTTCAACACCAATCTCGGTTCAAATTCGCGAGCGGAAGAATAAGAAGTAAATGTGTGATCGTAAATTGAACTACGACTTGTTTATAATCTATTCTCACTGTCACTTGTCAATGTGACGATCACCACACGTTTCGCCACCGTAGTCGATCGAATTACCGTCCTCATTATTTTTTCGTGATCCGATGGTTAGCATGTGAATTTTGCCGAAAGCCGATGATGAAGTGCTTTATGGTAATCAAAGTAATCGCAAATCCCACCACCAATTCTGTGTCTCGTAATTGAATATATCTTTCTACTTCTGTTCAGCAAACACGAGGTGCTATTTTATTTCTTTATTTACGTACAAGCTGACGTTTCGGCGGATTTCGCCTTCTTCAGAGCCTGGAAGTGTTAAGTTGACAGCAATCCATTCGGCCAAACACCTCCATAACCAAACAGAGAAGACTCTAAACCAAGATTTCAATCACATTTAGCATAGCACTGCACACTCACCGCTTTCTACGAGTCTTCCACTGAGTATGTCGCGTGAAGACCGACCGCACAGAATTCATATGGAAGCGTTATGTGCTCCTCCCATCAGAATAACAGGTTTATATACTGTCCAATATCGCGCGTGATAACGAGGCATTCCTCCCTGCGGTTCATTTTCGGATTCTTGGAATTAATCCAGAATGCCTCTAGAGTTTTGCGCGCTTGTGTTCTCGATTCTTGTGCGAGGATCATAACCCTTACTTCAAAATCTTCTCCGTTATGTTTCTGCGTGCTATGCGTACCTAGTGGAGTACTTAGCTTACATTTGCCGGCTAGGTGTTCTTTTATACGTACGCAGCGTGGTCTACCCGTTTCGCCAACGTATTCGTCCCCGCACGCTTTACAAGAGGTCAGATAGACTGTACCCGAACTTATGCAGTCACCGTCTCTACCATTGGGGAAAATTATGCAATTTTGCGTTGCTCATAGACGGTAGTATAGGCGGTTGCGAACTAGCTGGCGCCTTAGATTACTCGGTAGTATTTCGATTATCGTTACCCAATTCTCTAGACTGGCCCTTCTTAAATAGCGTTTTATAACTGTACTTACTTCATTTGAAATGAAGGGCAGTATAAATAGGACCTTGTTGTCGCTAGAGTTGTCGTTGGGGTACCTGTGGTTTCCTCTACACCTATTTCGAGCTACGGTTTCGTAGCCATTAAAAATGGCTATTTGCCGTGCCAAGTTCCGGGGCTCCTCTCACTGTTGTCTTCCTGTGCACACGCTGGTAGCTGTTCGATACATGTTTCTCACAAGCGCCCTTTTCGTGTGAGAGGGATGAGAGGAGAGGTAATGAACTAGGATGTTTTTACTACTTGGCTTTCGATCTCACTTCGTAATGTAGCCGTTTTCTGATAGGCTAATTTGCACGTTCAGAAATGGAAGCCAGTCTTCTTTTGGTTTCTCTCGGGTGAATTTAATATACTCTGACTGTGTGTTCAACAACTCGAAACATCTGTCGATTTCTTCTTGCGTTGAACAAATGACCAAGCAGTCATCTATAAATCTACAATAGAGTAACGGAATGAGGTCGATTACTGGCGCTTCCACCTTAGACATGAATGCAATGGCAAGGCTTGGTGCCAGTCGTTGTCCCATTGCCAGCCCTCTCATTTGCGCGTGATACCTCCCGGACCATCTGAAGATTGAGCAGTTTAGGCACTCCTTTAAGAGTGTCATCAACTGTTGAATCGAGAGGCCGTATATGTTTATTGCTCCTTAGTGTTGTATAAGGAGCTCTTTTATGGCTTGCATAGCGGAGTCATTCGACACGTTCGTATAGAGGGCAGTGACGTCGAAGGACTCCACCACGTACGCGCTGTTGGGTCGCGCGTTACGTAGACGATCCAGGAGCATTTGGGTGTTCGTTAGATGAGCTGGAATGTACTTCAACAATTTAGTAAGTATTAGGGTTATTAACCACGTTATCCTATCCGTTGGCCCGTCCACGCAGCTAATGATAGGTCTAACCTTAAACAATGATGGATCGGTAGACGCAAGATAATCGCTGGATAATAGCTTATGGGTTTTGATAAATACAGGAGGAGACATGTTGGTAAGTCAATTTTGAGATGAGAGATAACTGGTGGTTTTAACCCTGCCGCTCTTGCCACTTTAACCCATTCGTTGCTTAACTTTCGGTATTGACTTTTAAATTCCTTCTCAGACGATGGACGATAAAGGGAAGCATCTTTAAGGTGCTTTTCCGTTTTCTCAACATCTAACTAATAGGGAATTACAACAAACTCTCCACCCTTATCACTAACCGATAGTCTTATGTTTTTTCATCTTATCAGCTCTCGTACCTCCGGTTTTTGTATTTCAGTGAGGTTGGAGCAGTATCTTTTAGCACGATAGTGATTGAGGACTTTGAGAGTTTCATTCGTAAACATCCGAAATGTAACATCGACTTCATTAATGGGCTCCTGTTGTCTAAAGAACGGTTGAGGAAATGGTGGTACTGGTATTGCCCCTACTCTTTGTTGTTCTCGTAATTGAGTTCTCTTGAATTCGGTTAAGAGAAAATTGTACATGGTAATGAATTTTAATGAAGAATAGGAAACATCGCCCTATCTCTTCCATTATGGAAAGGTATTTCGGCCGGCTCCTTAAACAAGACCATAAGAGAGATTGTCTCTCTATTGCAATGAGTAGATTTATCAAATCTGCTTCTTCTCATTGGTAGAAAATCAACCAAAGGCAATACATACGTCTTCGTTTCGTATGCTGAAATTCCTTAATGTCTGCATTTGTAGTAACCAAAACCATATCAAAAAAAACTCGTGGCGATTCCGCTACTTCTACAGTGAAAAGACAAAGAAGCTGAAGAAGTTTTCCTTAGATTGGCTGACATTATTAGGTTTCTTGTTGTGGCCCTCTCTCTGCTTTTAGGTGAGAATTTTATTCTCTTACAATCCAGTTATCCACCTTTCGCACTAAAAAAGAAAGCAACATTTTCTTCACTTTAATTCATCTTACTGCTTCGTTACGGAGGGTGGGGTGGGGGAGTGGTTGGGGTAGGAGGTGGATATGACTTTTTCATTAGTTTTTTTTCCAAGACACCTTCGTTTTCAAAGAAAAAGAAAGAAGGAGAAGTGCCTCGTTAAATTAAACAGTCAATCAATTTTAGCGAAAGCGGCGAAAGTCAGAAAAACATTGTGAAGAATACGACACGTACAAACGGCGAATGTGTCCTTGAAATAAAAACAATACTATGTCGAAGGCTAGGAAACATTAAAGTGTTGGAAAGAACTTCCATATAAGCCCTAAAACAACTACAATACTTGGGGAATTTTATAAAGGAATTCGCTGAGATCAATATTTCCTTCACATAGTTGAAAATGTTATGGCTCTAGTTATTAGTATCTTATTTACCTTCCACTATTTTTAATATTGTCATCGTCAACATTAATATAACTTGCTGGATATTTTCATGAGCCACTGAAGCACAGTAATCCGAAGCGCCAGTCAAAACCTACGAAGTTGTTGTTTCGATTCCGCGTCACGTGCTCAACAAGCCGTCCTCTCCGTCTGAAATCGACCTAGCACTGTAATTCTACCCTGAAACTATGAGAGGCTTGGTGATCCCTGAGTTGAATTTAACTAGCACCATACCTCTGATGATCGGCATCAATATCACTTTACTACCCCTCCACTGCCCAACAAAGTCATCGTTTAGGACTGTTTAGAATAAAGATTCATTCAATCATTTCTATTAAGCATAATGGAACGGAGTCTATTGTTGGAGTCGAACGCATAACCTGATAAATTCCAAAGCGACTGAACAACAACGAACGCTTTGTGTTTTAACTTTTATTTACAGTCTATTATTTTTTATGGTTGGGTATAATATGAAATATAACAACAAGGGAATCGAAATATGAGCAGAAGTCGGGACCTCTAGTGAGCTTTGAACCGATGATTACCTTTCCCGGAGCTGAAAGTACTACGGGTTACACGAACCGAGACTTCTGCTTCGCCTTTCTCTCAGACAATTTTTCTTTACTCTAATGGTGCTACCAACGAGCATTCGCCAGCGGAAATAACCTGGGGAGCACAAATCGGAAGTCATAGAAGATAGTTAAGGGAAGGCTGCAGGTGAAATCACAATGTTTTACTTTTGTTTACTGTCCATTCTTTTCGACGACAGGGCATAATATAAAATACAACCATAATGGTGCTGAGATATGAATAAAACTCGGAAACTGTGGTGAGCTTCGAATGTGGGGTTATGCTTTCTGGCATAAGCAAGGTCTTTATACGATGTAATAGACAGCACATGAACCCCGAAAGGGGTAATCGTGGGTTCGAAGAGCAGCCGAGGCTTCGAGTTTTGCTTATGTCCCTGCAACGTTGCAGCTTAATCTTTCATTCCTCACGTGTCTTTATATTTTTCTCACTGTATTACCACTTTTAAGATTTCGAGGTCGGCTGTGGAAGTGCTACGAGGTGCACGTCGGGAGGAAACGGTTCGCATGTGCACTTGCAAGGAGATGTCGGAATGTTACGATTCAGCTAAAGAACAAGCCTTTGACTGCTTTGAGCCATGTTGGAATGAAACACAATCGGTACAGATTGAACTCAAAACGTTAAACTTAACTAGATAGTGAAGCCTGGAAACCCGAACGAGGAATGAGTAAAAGTGACGTCTGTTCTCTTTATCAAAGTACACTTTCATAGTAGCCCGCGGACGGTTTGACAAGATTTCCAAAAATTTGAGTAAACCATTAGCAGTACGTTTCCAAATAGCCACTACAGTAGTTGTGCGGCGTGGGAGAAAGACAGATTTGCCACCTTGCGAATAAGTTCCTCTTTTGGTAGAAAAGATTCCTTCTATTTGTTTATTCGGTGATGGGCTTCTGAAATAACATGTTGAACTCGTTTTTTATTTGAGCGAGTACATTCTTGATGATAAACTGACGTTATGTGGCAATCCAATGCTCAGCATCGTCTGTCGTTCAAAAAGAAGGGCTAAACATCGGAAGATGTGGAAGAAAACTCTCAAGAAAGTTGTGCAAAACCCGCGAACTATAATGGCTTATATCTTTCTTTAAGAGAAAGAAACAAAGGGAAAACCGTTATCTTAAACATTGGACAAAAACCCGTTGACACTCCAGTAGTGTTCGAAAAAAAATGCTAGAAGAATTGGTAGCTACAAAATTTACTGCACCTTCACGACCACCAATTTCAGTACTCGTTGACCAAGCATCCGGATAAGCTTCGCGTCTGTTTTGAAAACCGCCGTGATTTTGTTGACGAAATTGTCAGCTGCTTCCGCACAAAGGTCAAGGCGTAAGTTTTGTTGGTTCACGCCTTAATTTCACACAAAGAGTAGTCCTTTCACAAAGATTAGTGAGCGAAGTGATATTGCAGATTTCTGTACGAATAGTGTAGGCATCTTCTAAAGCCGGCGGAATTAATGTCATCTTTTAAAAAAAGCTTGAAAAACTGAGTTGCACTCTCTAGTGATATCAAATTTTCTTGTGCTTTCTTGCTTACATAGTCACTTCCGTAGTTCAACAGCTGTTCGTCGCTAATAACGAGATGCGTTGTTAAAGTCCGGGAGCACTTTTTATTTCAACGGCATTGTAATTTGCGCCTCAAGCATATTTCTCCTTTGTTGTAATCTCGAAAATCATGTTATTGCTGTTCCACTTCGTCACCATTTGTAGAAAGTCACTATTTTGTAGCCAGGATGGCAATGATTCCGGGGCTGCATTTAACTGGGTGAAAATATCGAATTCATTCTAAGCTTGGGAGACTATGCATGGGAAGGAACCACTGATTTTACATTCCAGTACTCATGACAACCCGTGAACCACGACAATGGAGAGGGTAGACTATGATAACCTGTGATCGTCCAGTTACTCGAGTGAGCGCCAGCACATCTTCTGATCATTCTTGTCGTGTTAGCCCAGTGGATTCTGCTCTTTCTCTCTTTTTTTAGGGACTAGTTGAGAGTCATATCTTTTTTTCTACGGTTTTCCTAAAGAACTCAGTCCATCGGGTCGTGGTTCGAACAGTGTGGGTTCGAAATTGCAAAAAAAACCAGCCGCTAACGGTTTTTCTCAACCAGTTGTGGTTCAGATATATCGATCCGGCACACTATATCCTGAACAATCTTTCTTAAAGAACGCCGTCTTCATTTTTTGGTTGCTACCGTAGGTCTGAGCTTCGGATCTCCTTTCTCTCATGCATGGCACCGGATACTCCTAGCATTGTCTTTTCGACTGCACGTTCTATAACGCCGAGTGGTCTTTGATCCTGACTGAGTAGCGAAAAGGTTCTTGACGTATAAGTTAAGACGCGAATAATAGTGGATTCGAAACGGTTGTCATCGAGTTGGGTGTTCTTTGTTTTCTCTACTATATCTTCGATGCTCTTGAAAGCCCCATAAGCTGCTAGCTTCCTTCGGCTCAACTCTGAAGCTATGTCGCTCATCATGTTCATTTCTCGACTTAGATAGACCTAACTGGAGCATTCGGAGGTATTCGTTCCTTTGAGCGTTAATGGGGTATGCGTACTCAAGCCGTTTCGCATGAACATTGCTTCTATGAGATTTAATCGAAGACTAGTCTTTACACAGGCTTTATCAAAGTCGTCAGGCATTCGTTCCACTTGTCCAATGTTTGATGTTATAGCAACGATATCATCAGCAAAGCGAAGACAGTGTAATTGCCGACCATCGACTTTCACTCCCATGTTGTCCCATTCTAATGTTCGCATGATGTTGTCGAGGGCTGCGGCGAATAATTTTGGCGGGATGGTATCGCTTGCCTAACCCTTCTTTAGATGTCGACGTTAATATCGTTATCGAGTGGTGATGCTTTTGTTGTGAAGATTTTATTCAGCTCACAAAGGATTATTTTATGCCGAGTAGTGACACCTTGATTAACTGCCCAGGGCTTCTATGACTGTTTGTGTATCACCTGAGTTAAAAGTGTCTCTAAGTCTGTGAAAGTGAAACAGAACGGTCTCTCGCGATATATTTCAACTGCTCTAGCTATGGTGTAAATATGCTTCACCATACTGAATTTTTTTCGAAACCTTTCTTGCTCACATGGCTATTCTTCGTCTAGTGTTCTATCAATCCTGTTTAGGAGGAACCAGGTAAAAAGATTGTAGACGACAGAGAGCAAGCAGATTGGGCGGTAGTTGCCTACAAAGTAGAGGCCACCCTTGTTGAACAAAAGCGCAGTCTTGCTGTTTTTGCACTGAATACGAACCTTGTATTATGAATGGTAACGGATGAAATGTCAACGTAATGTTTTGATAAGTTCTGATAAAAGGTTCTTCTGATGAATCTTATCCTTTCTTGACCCGGCGTTGCTTAGTTTTTCACCAACGAAAGGCCATATCGGATTTGGGAGGGTAGAACCGGTGGGACGACATATCCAACTTTTTTTATTTTCCATAGAGGCAGCGGGATGTGGTCCATGACAAAATTCGAGTAGTAATCATGAATGGTTTTCTCCATTTCCTTTCTGGAAGCTGTAACTGTTTCGTCTGGATGCAGGAGTGCAACCATATTGATTTTGTAGTTGGCGAAGCTTCGGCAGACCTCGAGAACGCTCCGTCCAGCCTTTGAGGCCTCGACTATAACTGCTGATCTTCCCTTTTCAAGATCTTCTTTATCGTATCTCTGGATTGTTTTACAAGTTGGACTTGAGTTAGCGGTTGCCTGCAGCTCGTGCGATTCCACGCTGGCGCATCAGCTCGTGTGTTTCTTAAGACTAACTCCTCTTGCTAGTTCTCAGTTTTCACAGCGCTAACGTGAAGATATCGAGTGAGCCGATCGTATTCTTCGTTGATGTCGTAGATAATGGCATTTTCCCAGCATCCGACTAATGAATTGACTAAATCCCACTTTATGGCGCTATTGAAGCTTCGTTTTTTGAATTTAGCCGTTTTTTCTCTTTTACCCGGAATATTAAACCTTGCATGTAAGAGGCGGTGGTCTGATCCGTGTAGAATTTTGCGACAAAAACGTCATCGGTTAGGCAAAACTTTTTATTTACCACTGTGTGGTATATTTCGTTATGGAACTCTCCACTGGGAGGCTTTCACCTCCTTCATTGAAAGTAAGGCTTCTGAAATTGGCAGTTGTTATGAATGGACTTCGTTGTCATGATAAAGTCGAACAGCGGCTCACACTGCTTTTTCCATTCCAATTCGTGGGTCTCAATGCTTTGAAATCTTCAATGTTGACCTTGAAGAGTGTATGGTTTCTGCTGTAGAACTTCTCCAAGTTCATAGCTAGACATCGGTGCGCAGACGACAAATGATGTCAAAGCCTGGGTTGATTCACATCTCCTCAATCGTGGGCGTTCTATTAGGGTTGTTAGTTATTTGAAATAATCATTCTTGGCCAAACTAATGCTGATGAGAATGCCAATGGCACCGGTTCCTCTACTATTGCACGTTCCGCGGAAGAGTTTTGTTCATTGTCATGGACTCTGGTGGACAAGTGGCGTCTTTCCGTCTTAGCCAGTTTGTTGACCTCGTACCTTACCCATCTTGCCTACTTTATCAAGTTCTCTGTCGAGCACTCAGATGCAAATGAGTGCGCATTTTAGGCACAAGTCGTCACATTAGCCTTTCCAGGTTAAGGAAGTTTAGAATGCCTCTGAGATTTTAGCGTCCTCTCTGTACTCAGTTTTTTCACCGATGCCGAATCGGGCGAGGGCCCTTAGTCAAGACAGTGAAGGCAACTTACTTTACTTCATTTCGTGTTTAGTTCTCACCTGTAGCTTGTTCAGCTCTGGACATGGAGGCTGGATATCTTTGCCAGTCTCAGAAAAGACGGAGCGACTTTTTCTTATTTATTGGAAGCGTCTGCCAACCGCCTCCCGTATACACTCCTTTCACTTGATTGCAGGTTCTTGGTCAAATTGACTCGTAGAATATGATCCTCACAAAAGACACCACACCCACACACGCATGCATGGTCAAGTCCCTGTAAGCACAAAAGATCTGTGCCATGTTGGTGTAGGAGAAATAAAGAGTAAATTTACTGGATCCAACTGTGCCTCATGGAAGCATAAGGTCGCTTTTAGCCTACGGCTGTTCATTTAGTTCTTGTCGACCATATTCCAAACTGTGGAAAGTCGCAGCTAAAGTGATAAGCAGCACGGAGAACTCTTTAGCATTTATTTCATCGATGTCTATTCATGTGTTTATTTTCGCCACCTTCTTCGCCATCAATCAGTGTTTTACACACCATGTGTGCTGATGGCTGTTGAAGCAGCGTCCTTAATCCGACATTATTCTTTTTTCCTTTTACTAAATGTTTCTGGGTCGTCTGCGTAAGGCGTCACCCAACAGTGGGTATGTAATTGAGTGTTTCGATGTTACCACCCTTTATAAAAGCTCTGCTATGCAAGCCGTCCTCGAACTCATTATGCGAGAGGAAGGAGCAATAAATATCTATGGCTCCTCGATTCAGCAGCTTATAACCGTCTTGAAAAACTACCTAAGCTCCTCAATCTTTGACTGGTCCAGGGTCCAAGGCGTATTTCTTTTTCTTTTTCTATTTCGCACAAAAAAGAAGCTGGGTAATGGGACAGACTTCCACCAAGCCTTGCCATTGCCTTTATGTCCAAGGTGGGAGCACCACTGATAGATCTACGCCAATTGTTCTACTATAGTTATTTAGATGATTGTTTTGTCATTTGCTCGACACAAGAAGAGTTGGATAAATGCTTTGAATTGCTAAACCAACAGTCAGAGTACACAAATTTCACAGGAGAAAAACCAGTTAAAGATTGGTTTCGTTTTCAAATCAATCTGTCGAAAGTAAGATACACCGCCAAATAGCACTGATAACCATGTAACGAAAATACATTGGTTCACTAACTCTGCTCTCGCCCTTTCAACACCAAAAGGGTGCTTGTGAAAAACATATATCGACCATCCACCCCTGTGTGCACAGAAAGAAATCGAAAGAAGCAGTTTCTGAAATTGGCACAAAAAATTGCTATTTCCATTGGCTATGGAAAGATAGCTGCTGTGGATTGATTTAGAGGAAAAGCATGAGCCAAAAATGATAAGTCTATTCAGAATAAGAGCCTGCCTATCCTGTCTTTGATTTCCAATGAAATAAGCGCATTTATAAAATTCCGCTTAGGAAGGGACAGTCTAGAGAATTCGGTAAAAGTGATTGGAATAGAACCAAACACTCTTAGACGTAAGGTAGCACGTTACCGATTGTATGATGGCATATAAATGAAATTACGTAATTTGCTCTAACGGTAGAAACAATGATAGCATGAGTTCTAGTACCGTGCACCAAGCCATTTGTAAAATATGCAGGCGCAAATACGTTGGCGAAAAGGGCAGATAACACTACGGCCATATTAAGGAGCAGCTAGTTAGGAAACATGAAATCATTCACAACACTCAACTAAGCATGTATGGGGCACGAAAGCATAACAGAGAAGATTTTGAGGTAAAACCCACTATCTACGCACAATGATCCAAAACGTCATCATGCAAGACTCTTAAGGGCTGTGGGTAGGTCTCAAAAATCCAAAAATGAACAGCGTGAAGGAGAGCCCTGCGATCACGGATAACTTGCGCCTAATTGGGGCGGTGTTTTTATCCGAACTACGGGCAATGCTTACCTATGTGTGACTCTGTGCAGCTGATCTACAACAATAACTCTGAAGCTTAAAAGCAACAAAATGGTGAGTCCTTTAATGAATAAGCTGCCAAGGGGTTTATAAAAGATTTACTCGGCTAACGTTCCAATTTCTTCCTCTTCAGAGCTCATGATCCGAGCCTGTCTACAAGCTTTTTACCACTGACAGGTGCAGTATGGATTGCTCGTCGGAAAACGAATTATTACCAACAGACAACCAGTTACATAAAAAAACGAATTGTTACCAACAGGCAATCAGTTAGATCAACAACCATCTTTTAAAAAGGACGCAGCCGAGTAAGGTTGCTTGGTATCACTCCAATGAAGAAGATTCGACTTGATATGAAGACGAAGATAGCACATCGACAGGACCAACGACTGTCATCGCCTCGGATCTCGGGCTCTGTAGAAGAAGAAGACATCGAAACGTTTTTCAAATAAATCTTCCTCAATCCCGTGTTGCTTTATCAATAAAGGAACATAAATTGATTAGTGATACCAAGGTTAATGGGAAGTCGGTTTTGAAATATTAAATCGATAAGCGTTGAAGAGAAGCCGCTTGAAATGCGAAAAAACTTTGTATTTTAAAATTAGCCTAGAAACGGTTTTGAAAATTCTAAATTATATATTATATCTTATCGTTATGCATTATTTATATTATATTATTTATGTTATGTTTCGGCTTTTTGAATTTTTAAATGCTTAACAGAAAACTCACAAAAAGCGGTGAGTGTGTGAAGAGGCTATCTTGTTCTCAATGCGATTAAAATTTTGGTTAGTTATCTTCTTTTTAATTAATGCCTATTACAATTTTTCAGGGCAGGTTGTTATGTGTGATACAACCACAATGGTGCTGATATATTTGCAAAACTTCGAACCGCAGGTGTCTGGGGTGGGGAACGAACGCGCTTTCACGCTTTCCAGGGAGTAACGCGTTCACCACCACACCACGCAGGTCCTTCGTTTCGCCTGTCTCTCAGTTAGTTCTATCGATCTCTGCCATCAGCAATCACTCGTCAACGGAATTGATCTGGAGAGCCTAAACCGGCAATGAACGTAGTTAAGTTTAGGCTGTAGTCAAAATCACAATGTTAACTTTTTTAAGAGGTAGCTGAGAGACAGGCGAAACGAAGGACCTGCGTGGTGTGGTGGTGAACGCGTAAGACCCTGGAATAGGTATTAACGCGTTCGTTCCCCACCGCAGACACCTGCGTCCCGCACTTTTGCAAATATCTTGGCTTCATTGTGGTTGTGTCTAAGTTTTGTATTTTTTCTGTTTTGGCGATGGACGTGTCTGCCTGGTAGACTACAGTCAACTGGACCTTTCCAGCTTCTGAGGAAGGTGAAATAAGCGGAAACGTCAGGTTTCCCGTCAATTAAGAATAAAATAACACCTCGTGTTTGCTTTTCAAGAATACAGTGAATTAGCTTAGAACAATTTCTTTAGATTGTTTAGCTTACATGAGGATGCTATACAAACTTTACTCCGCTGAGGTTTCGACGTTTTCGCCTTTTTCTGAGCAGAAAGTCTGTGCCAACGGTCACAGTCGTAAAAATTTACATGTTAACTTTATCCGCTGAATCTGTAAAAGTGTTCGGCTAAGCAGAGTGACCTTTGAATTTGGCCCTTCCAGGCCATGGAAAAGGACTACCGAGGCGTGGACTGTTCCTAATTAATAAATACCATAACAACAGTGTCCTGTTTTCTCATCAAGAAAACAGCGAATTATTAATGCCGAGGATTAAAAAAAGGCTATCCTGGCATAATAATCTTACTAGGGAGCAGATAGTATATTGGTAGTGATGGCAATTTTCACGGGCACGGTGCTAGTACAACCTGCATCGGGCTCACCAAGCTCTCACCCCTCCGGTATCAGGTAGTAAGAGATTGGTGTGCTATCGCTGTGCTACCACAATCCAAGTGGGAACACTGTAGCCAGTGCTTGGATCCACACAGTAAACGTGAAGATGGGTCATATTAAAAAAAGTATCCTAACGGGCGTTTCGTCCAGGTCGCTATGGACACTATAGTAACCATACGGGATGGAACGAGTCAGCTGAGACATTTTAATATATTATTGTTGAAGGTGGCCATTATTTTAGCGACATATTACTGCAAAGCTCATATGTTTAGAGCAAGTGTCAAATCACTTCCATGATGCCTACATAGTACATTTCTAAGGGATTCATCAATTTCGGGAGGTATATCTCCTTTCTTTCATGAATCTAAAAGCTGTAGAGAATTTCTTAAAACCGACTCTCATTAGAACTCTGCAAAAAATCAATACCTTCTTTTGATATCAAGCTAACACGAGGTGGCCATGCTCGGTCGTTGTCGCCATGTGGGTGTTCGTTGTCACTTCGAGTTGAATCCAACGAAGTGAAGCAGCGTTCGAATGAAGAATCTCACTTGGCGGTGCCCATTGGGCAAACGTTTTGGAAGCAGTAGTATGTTCTAGTCCTTAAAAAATCTACATAGAAATAATGTCCAATGGTGGCACAACATAGTGCTAGCGATAAAAAGTGCTAAACGAACTTTACCTTCACAATCAGGTGGATGGGCTGCATAGAAGTGTGTTACAGTGCAAGGCAATCATTTCCAGTACTCTAGCGCTAACGATCCAAGTTTGATTTACTTTATTTAACATATGGACCATTCGCTCTTGATGTGCCACTTAAATGTTCTAGAAAACATAAATAATCACTTATACGGTCGAAGATTCACCACAGAATCTCATTGTTACCAATTAAATTTGGGTAAACGTCTGTGAACGAATTCTCAAATGGACGTTTCAGGGGATCAACCGACCATATTAATATCAGACTATGGTGAATCTTTCGTTTGCCATTTACACATATCTGTTGACTACTTGTGAACCATTTTATGAATGAATTGGACGAAGAAAGTTTCTGAAGTTACAAAACAACGAATACCGGATAACAGTTTAGATGCGCAGACGATGAAGAGAAAGCGAAACAAAGGCATGTGAAGAACTACGACTACCAGGATATGATTAGACGTGTAGATGAAATTATCAACGAACATATTCGGACGTTCCTCAATTCGATAACCTCAAACTACGTCAAGGTAACTCGTCTAAATGTCGATATAAAAGCATGAATTGCTTTTCTCATATCGTTGTCGCGTAGTTAACGTGATTTGTTTATTTCCACAATAGCGTGAGCAAAAATGCAAAAAGGTGAATGAGTTCTCATGCAAATTCCGTTGTTCGTTTTTTTATCAACAGGAAACACTTCGAATATATTCGAAGTGAGTGCTGTCAATGGGGATCGCTATTATATCGCTGTCGGCGATCACCAAGAAGCATGACGCCTTTCATTCACCCACTGTTGAGACGCACCGCCAAGGGCGGAGCCAGTGGACCTTACGAAAGATGGGACCAATAGCAAGCGATCCGCATGTGTATCCACAGAGCCACCCATTGCTCACTACCCAATTACAACTAAATATCTTAAGTTGTTGATACCGCTTAATCTGGATTTCAAATGGGAAATGCCGATACACTTACCCACTTGGGTACTCCAATGGCCTGCCCACTTGGTTGTGCGGGCACCACCATATTCTTTACTTTTCGGAGTTTTGTTGGCCTAGCCGCTGTAGCCTTAAAGTGCTGAGGTCGCCATGGCCAAAGTCTGCTCCAGTTCGTCATTACCACAGGCAGTCCCAGCCCCTGTAGAGCAGAGGGAGAATTGCGACTAGTTTGATACCAGGTCGGTGATGCATCCTGGCATTGGTTGCCTCTTAGGTGGGCTTCCTGATAGAAACGTTAGGCTCATTCTCAGCTTAAAAAACCTTAGGCCTCGTCGGGAGATGAATTCGGTTGCAGTAGATCACAGCCCGACACTCAGGAATACGTCCCAGCCACGATAAAGCGGTAAGCCGGTGAGATGAACCCGATACACACCTGTCACCTGCATCATCTGTAGTCCCGTTGTTCGTCGAGCGACTCGAGCAGGAGCCAGTAAATCTTTCATTTTTTCCTGTCACGTGCAAAAGTAGCCCAGTAGGTTCTGCTCGCTCTAAGAACTCGTCGATCGTCATATATTTCTTCAAGGCTACTTGTGAGAAACTCCAACCATCGGGTTGGTGGTATTCCGGCAGTACGTTTGATATCCCAACAAATCCAGCCAGTCACTAACGGCTCTCGCCCAACGGTTGTCATTCATACCCATTAGATGTCCAGCTCACATCATCTTCGATTGTTTGGCGTACAGACCGGCATCTCTGATTTTTAATTGATGACGGAGGTCGGAGCTTCGGATCTCTTCCCTTACTTGTGTGAAACCGGATACTCCTAGCATCGTCCTTCCGACTGCGCGTTCAATAACGCTAAGTGAACTTTCATCATACTTAGGCAGCAACCAGGTTTCCGACGCATACATTAGGGCAGGAAGTACCGCTGAGTCGAAAAGGTAGGCACTGAGTCGGGTGTTCTTTGCTCTCTTCACTACATCCTCGATGCTATTTAAAGCTACCCAAGCCACTCATTTCCTTCTGCTCAACTCTGGAGCTAAGTCGTTCATCATATTGATATCACGACTTAGATAGACATAGCTGGAACATTCGGAGATATTCATTCCGCTGAGCGTGAATGGGGCCTACGAAACCAATCCGTTCTTCAAGAACATCGTTTCTGTGAGATTTAGTAGAAGACCAATCCTTCCACAGGCTTTATCAAAGTCGTCGTCAAGCCTACGTTCCGCTTGGTTAATATTTGGTATTATAAGGACGATGTCATCAGCAAAGCGAGGATGTTGTAACTGTCGACCATCGATCATCACTCCCATATTATTTCATTCCAATGCCACATGACGTTTTGGAGGGTGACGGTGAATAATTTTGGCGAGATGGTATCGCCTTGCCTAACTCCTCTTTTGACGTCAATGTTATTATTGTTGCAAAATGGTGATATATTGGTTGTGAAATTTTTGTACAGCTCACGAAAAATCTTTATATACTGAGTAGGAACTCTCTGACTATCAAGGGCTTCCATGACTGCTATCTCAACTGAGACAAATGCCTTCTTTAAATCAATGAAAGTGAGACAGAGCGGTCTTTTGTACTTTCGCGATACTTCAGTGACCCTTGTTACCGTGTGGATGTGGTCCATCGTGCTAAATCCTTCTCGAAACTCTGCTTGCTCACATGGCTGTCCTTCGTCTAGCGTTCTGTCAATCCTGTTTAGGATGACTCGAGTGAAAAGTTTGTAGACGACAGACAGTAAGCAGATTGGGCCATAGTTGTCAATATCGGGTAGGTCACCCTTCTTGAACAATAACACGGCCTTGCTGGTCTTCCACTGAGTTGGGACGTTGCATTCAGACAGGTAATGCATAACGAGCCGAGCCAGTGTGTTTACGAGGACTGGCGGAAGGTTCTTCAGGTGTTCCGGTCTGATCCTGCGCGGTTCTGGTATTGTTCGATTTTTCACCGACGAAATAGCATGGCGGATTTCGGAAGGGAGAACCAGTGATACAACATATCCATCCTCCTTTATTTCATATGGCTGAAGGTAAATGTGGGTGTAGAAAAGATCTGAGCACTATTCGTGAATTACTTTCTCCATCGCCTTTCTGGACGCTGTAACCGTTCCGTTTGGGAGTCGGAATGCAATCATCTTGGTCTTCTAATTGGCGCAGCTTCGGTGGCCTTTGCGAATGCTTTTCCCAGCCTCTGCAGCTTCGACCATTACTGCTGCTCTTCTTTCTTTAAAATCTTTTTTTATCGCCAGTCTGCATTATTTTGCAGGTTCGGACGTTAGTTCGCGGTTGGCTGCAACTCCTGCGATTCCACACTGGCGTATCAGCTCGAGTGCTTCTGGAGATAAACGTCTCTTGGTGAATTTCGAACTCTCAGCTTTCGTAGCGTTAATGCGAAGATGTTGAATGAGCTGATCGTATTCTTCTTCGATGTTATCGACAGCGGGATCCTCCCTGCAACCAACTAATGAGTTGAATGGGTCCCAGTTTGCGGTGGTTCTGGGACTTCGCTTTGGGAATTTAGCCGCTTTTTCTTCTTTCCGCGAGAAAGGGAATCTTGCACGACAGAGACGATGGTGTGATCCCGTGTAGAGTTTTGGAACAACAGATACATCGGTTAGACAAAACCTTCTGTTTGCTGTAATGTTGTCTATTTCGTTATGGTACTCTCCACTGGGAGACTCTCATGTCCAGCGTTGGAGTTGCGGCTTCTGGAATTGCAGGTTACCATAGTTAGTTTTGGTCGCCATGATAAACTCAGACAGTCGCTCACCCTGTTCGTTCCATTCTAATCCGTGGGTCCCAGTGTGACGTTCTTCTTGGTCTAATCTTGGCGTTGAAATCTCCAAGGATGACCTTGAAGAATGTGTGGTCTTCTCTGTAGAGCTACACCAAGTCCATATAGAACGCTTCGACTTCTTCTTCGTCATAGTTTGATGTCGGCGGGTAAACGACTACGATTGTCAAAGCCGAAATTGATCCACATCTTTTTAATCGTAAACGTATGATTCAGGCTGTAAGTTGTTCGAATGAATCGATTTTCATGGACAAACTTGTGTTGATGGGAACGCCGACACCGCCGACTCCTCTGCTGACGCATGTTCCAAGGAACAGCTCTTGTCCGGTGTCATAAGCGGCGTTGAAGGGCTGGCGTCTTCTCGTTTCGGCCAGGCTGATGACGTCGTACTTTATACACATAGTCATAAAATATGACCTAAAAAATTTCTAAGGATACTTTCGTTGTTATACGTCTCTTCATTTTAATTCTTCGTCTATAACCACAACGTTGGTGAGATATTTGCAAAACTCTGGACCGCAGGTGTCTATAGTGGGGAACGAACGCGCTATTGTCCTTTCAGGAGTGTAACGCGTTCACCACCGCACCATGCGGGTCCTTCGTTTCGCCTTTCTCCCAGCTATTTCTATCGATCTTTGCCACAGCAATCATCCGTCAGCGAGATTGATCTGGGGCGCCAAAATCGGCATAGAACCCAGTTAAGCTGCGACTGTAGTTGAAATCACAATGTTATACCTTTTTATTTTTTGCCTATTATAATTTCGCGGCAGGGTACTAAGCGAAATACAACCACAACGTTGCTGAGATATTTGCAAAACTCTGGACCGCAGGTGTCTATAGTGGGGAACGAACGCGCTATTGTCCTTTCAGGGGTGTAACGCGTTCACCACCACACCATGCGGGTTCTTCGTTTCGCCTGTCTCAGCTTATTTCTATTTCTTCGTCTATATTCTTCAAATGACCTTTGATGTTTAAAGAAACAGCATGTATGCTATCGCAGATTTCTTTGATAAAGTCATCGGGACATTAATCGCCTTAGTTAGTTTTTATTAAAAAGGATACAAAAAAACTAATTTTGATAAAAAAAAAAAGTCTACGCCATATAAATCGAACGATTACGACAAAATAGCGTTTACGAAAACGGTTGAAAGTTTCCATAAATGAATTAACTGCAAGTTGTCCATTATTTCTGCCCACGTTTTTCCTGTCATCAATAATTCTGCACACTACAAAATACATTTTTGCACTTTTGCTATCTCATTGACGTTGACTTTCTCAAGGGCAAAGCTACTGTTGTCCTGAAATAAAACAATTGATATTAAGCCTATTATGCACCTCAGAAAAACGACAAACCTGGTTTTTTAATGCGCCATTATTCCCAACGGTTTACCGCCTCATCGTGGCTGGCAGGTGTCAGTGGGTGTCGGGCTGCGATATGCAGCGGTGGGATTCATCTCCTGGTAGAGTCTCCCAAGCTGAAAAGGAGATCGGGTTTCCATGAGGAAACCCAGCTAAGAGTAAACCAATGCCAGGACCCACCGTCCTGATATCAAAGTCGCATGGTAGCAAATCTCCCTCTGATCCACAAGGGCTGCAACTGCCTGTGGTCGTGAAGACCTCAGGCAGACTTTGGCTAGGCCGACCTAGGGATTCCAGAGAACAAAAATGGCTTAGCCAACAAATCTCCGAAAAATGCAGGTTATGCTGGGGGCCGCACAACCACTTAGGACGAGTCAATCAAGTAGTAAGTGAGTAAGTATCAAGTAGTTACTATATTTTCTGTTTTTTCCAAAAAATTGATGCTGTTAGAGATTACGGAAATTTATGAGGAGAAATATGGTAACGCATGTCATTAAAACGTCATTGTTAACAGTGTCTTTCATATGTGAACAGTTATGAAGAAACGAAACGAAAACATTTGTCGAAGATACACACATACACACATAAACACATACACATACCTACACACACACACACACGCACACACACGCACACGCACACACGCGCGCACACACATACACACACATTCACACACCCACACACGCATACATATGTATATATATATATGTATATATGTACATATATATCTATTTACATATGCATTTATATAAAGAGAATAGTTTTTGATTCATTTTATATATCATTTATTAAGATGGGTAGAAAGAATATAAAAAAGAATATCAACTATAATTTAATATGGTGCCCTTACGTTTGTCGTTTTCCATTCGATCAATAATTTTAATCAATTTCGTCCGAAATAATTCATCACGCATTCAACGGTTGCTCTTCCACTTCTGGTGAATTTGGAAGTTTTGAGGGATTTTTCGTAGGAATATAGAAAGGTAATAGTGCAGCAGTTATTTTCGACTCTGCAGTAGAGCACAGCGATTTTCTTCACGGTGTTTGTTTTGACTTTTGAGCTTAGTCATTGTAAAAGGTATAAGTTTATTCTTTCAGGTATAAAAACCAATGCACAAAAATTTATGCAAAGCAATTTAAGTGAGAATAGATGGAAGTTCAAAAACTGATTTAACGGACTCTATAGAATTTGAATGACTTTTTTAATCAGCACGAGTCGAAAAGGGCGTGTGTGGCGCAGTGTTTGGAGGCGCCACTGTGACACTCACATGGAATCGATCCCGCACCCATGGCCCACCAAACCTTCCATCCCTCCGGGGTTGGCAAATTGGTACCAGACTTGTCTGGGAGGATAGTAGTACTGGTTCGATAGATCGGTAGGCCACTGTGAGTCATTGTGAAGGCCAGATATGCATTCAATCACCTCCAACGATACTTAGTAAAGTCGAATTCATGGCGGATCTCTCAGGGATGGATCAACGCCAGGAGCTTTATCCTTTCATCTTTATGAGTCGTCATTCTTTAATTCCATATCACTCGGTGCTCGCACTACGGTAGTTCGGCGGACTATTGAAAACCGGCAATCGTTAGAAAGTAGTGCGTAGAAACCACAAGAATTTCAACAAAAGTAGTTCAGCTTTGCGTCTGTCTGCATTTCGTTTTAGTTTTCTCATGTAATGAAGAAGTACTTTTTTGCGTAGTTTTTTTATTTTCAGAACCTTTTTGTTAAGCACGTTGTCAACGCAGCCGCGTCGGTGGCGCGTTGTGTAAAAAACTGTTTCCTCGAAAAAAATAGGGACGGCTTTTGCTTCGATCGTAAAGGGTAAGATTTGGAGAACATTATTTTTTTAAAAAAAGCCTTTCGGTAAACAGTTATATTCACCTTATATTTACCCACCTCTATAATCTGCAATACTTTTTAATAATCAAGTGACTCAATCATTAAGCATCGAGGAACAGTAGAGTTTTCTCACGTAGCAGTTGTATAGCGCAGCTACTTGGGATGAGCTCCACATATTCATCGGACACAATGAAGATTACGCCTAATACAGTGCCTTTTGTGTTGTTTTTGACGAAAAGTCGGTTACATATGCTTCACTGGACCCTGCAATAGCCCATGTTAGTACTAGTAGCAGAGCTTCCGGATGTGGATATTAAACACTTTCTAACCTTGTGTGACCTTGCCGTTGAAACTAACACTTTCTTGATGTTTTTCACAGTTCGATTTACAAGTTTCACATCACGTTTAAGCCAAGTTTTTCAATGCCACAGTGTAACAGTTATTTTCGTGTCACACTAAATCATCACTATCTCATTCTCGTTATAGTTAGCTAGGTATATGTTCCTAGCCATATGTTGCCGTCTACCCGGAATCGAATCACTGAAAAATACCTTGCTGAGTAGATGGTTGCATTTGGTAGGCAGCCTCCATCATTTTCTTATCCAGCAATTATCACATCGAACGGTATCACAGTGTCTACTTTCGTGGATGTCTGGAACAATGACAGTCTTTATCTATAGCTCAACCCATTGCATAATGCTAATTGCCAAAATGCTAACCTATCCCACCGAGTAGAAATCACCGAATGGTAGACGACTTCGGATTGTATGCTCCATTTTGATTCGGCCATAGGCGGGCAAACATGTGACTAAGAAGTGCATACAGAATGTTTGTTAAAATATATAATGATATAAATGTGTCGTTTTCTTGCTCAGCAATCGCGAGGTTTTTAAACAGCATACATTTACTTCCATAAAAAACACAATACAATACAACGCTAGCTGACGTTTCGGCAGTATCGCCTTCTTCAGAGTCTGCAAGGGCATGCTGATAAACAACCTACTAGGCCAAACGCTTCAATGACACTTACAAAAAGACGAAAAACTCTTCGGTAATTACATATCCTTGCACAGGAGACTAAAACACCAGCGCGAAAACTTCTTGAGGCTTTTTGGATAAATGCCAAAAACCCTACAATGAATAGCAGGGACGAATGCCCGGAGGTCATACGCGACCTGATCCCGTACGTTCGCATCGATTTTTGATGTGGGATGGTGCAGTCGTCAATCACATGCGACTATAATCAGCTGTTCTAAACTTTCTCGTTGGAAGTCACGTAAAAAGCGGTGAGTTTATCGAGAAGCTGTTGATCATGTAATTACCGGAGAGTTCTTCGTCTTTTTGTAAGTGTCATTGAAGCGTTTGGCCTAGTAGATTGTATATCAGCATACCCTTCCAAGCTCTGAAGAAGACGATACTGCCGAAACGTCAGCTGGCGTTGTATCGTATTGTGTTTTTCTATGGAAGGAAATGTATGCTGTTTAGAAACCTCGCGATTGCTGAACAAGAAAACGACACATTCATATTCCAATGCCGAGGTTAATAGAAAGTCGATCCTGGAAACTATAATGATATAATATTATGAAAAGGTAACGCTCTTAGTGTTGATCAATCCCTGAAAGATGTTCCGTGCATCCGACCTCTCTAAGCATCGTTGGAGGTGATTGAATGCATGCCTAGCCTTTACAATAAGTCACGGTGGCCTACCGATGTATCATGCCAGTGCTGCTATCCTCCCAGACAGGACTGGTACCCATTTGCCCACCCCAGAGGATTTCAGAGCCTCGTAAGCCTGAAGTGCGGGAAGCGATCCCATGTGCATTGCAGGGCGCCTCCAACCACCGTGCTACATACGCCCTTCGTTGCCGTTGTTGCCTACTGTATCCTACATGTCCATCCGATCATAACCGGACGTACACGTTAATACGAAGTGCACGTAGAGTGTTTCGCAATCATTTTAAACAAAGGACCTCCGTGTCTACTCTGTCCCGGGTCCTTTCTATGGGCTGTGAGACAGCAAAAATAGAAAAGAGGAGCAATAAACCAGAAAATGTTACTGTGAGTTTGAATAGGATGAAGGACACCACTTGACAATCCCTGAGTGATCATCATGCATTAGACTTCATCAAGCGTCGCAAGCTAGTAGGATGCATATCTTGCGTGCCCAATGCTATCCTCCTATGGAGGACTTGTACCAAAGTCCCAACCTCAGAGGGATTTGGCAATTTGGTGAACCTTAGAGACGGGATCGAAGGAGGAGACTCCTCGAGAGTAACACCGTACTTGCAACATGAACCTCCCATAACTACGATAACTGTAGCAAAATATGATAATGCTGAGATTTTGTAAAACTCAGGACCACAAGTGTCTGCTATGGGGAGCGCATGCGTTATTACCCTTTCCGTGGGGTAGGGAGGCTTACGCGTTCACCACCACACCATGTGCGTCTTTCATTTCGCCTGGCTCTCTGCTAGTTTTCTATCTACCATTGCCATCAGCAATCACCCGTCAACGGAATTGACCTTAAAATTGTTGGAGGCGGTAAATAAAAAGTCAAAATTGTGGTAAATAGTTTAATTTTTTCGTAATAGTATTCAATACTTTATTTCAATTTGAACTGTGGCGAACGGAAGCTTGGTCGCAGGCAACACCACCACTGTATGAGATTTGCAGGAATTTCCTAACAGAGACGTTAAAGTATGACTTATTATCGACTGGCCACTACTTTTTTTCGCTGTAGGTTACTGTGTTAAATACAACTACAATAGTGCCGAGATATTTGTAAAACTTGGACCCAGGCCAAATCGAACCGCGACTACCTTTCCGAGTACTCATGTGTTACATAAGGCACCACTGAGGCCCTCGCTCTACCTATCTCTCATCCAGCCTTTTTACCCTTACGGTGCCATCAGGAACCAACTAGCAATAGAGATCTCAAAACTGTGAAAAACATATTGATTAAAGTTGGAGGATCTGAGAATATCGTGTGAGAATCAGATTTGAGAATCAGGATCAGAAAGCAGAGAGTGAAAGATGTAGGACTTCTCGGCTAAATCAGATGTTGGATAATTTCGTACATAGAGCATCATAACTTTTCACGCTTCCTTTTTATTACTATCAAGTATTGAATATAACAATAAGTGCTTTCATTTCAAAATCAACGATTGAACAGTTGAGAGCCGGTACGAAATTCGAAGAGGAAAACGTAAATGTGGTTGGGGGTTCCAACAAAATCGATCGATAAATATTATGTTTTTCGCTAAATCAAAAAATCCGCTCCGTAGGTACAAATTTTACTGGGCAGTTGACACTGTATGCAACTTGTGATCTCAGGAAGGTTGTAAAAGTTATCCGCTATTCAATTCATTTCCAGATGTGAGCCAGAAATAACCGATCAGAACGCAAAACTGGCGCTACGACAATGTTCACGCACGGTGAATTGGAAGAAAGAAATCACCGAACTGTGCACGTGTTCAAGTCAAGCCGGAGTAAAGTGAGCGCGTCATCAACATTAACGAAATTTCAAAATTAACAGTGATAGCAGCAATAAGGATAATAATTTTAAAAATTTCAACTTTTTATTTACTGCCTATTACAATTTTTCACGGCAGAGTATTACGTGTCATACAACCACAGTGGTGCTGAGATACTGGCAGAACTCCGGACCGCAGATGCCTGCGGTGAAGAACGAAAGCGCTATTACCCTTTCTGGGGGCTAACGCGTTCATCACCACACCATGCAGGTCCTTCATTTCGCCTTTGTCTCAGCTAGTTCTACCGACCAGTACCATCGGCAATGACCCAAAAGCAATACACCATCAGCTTAACTGGGTTCATTGCCGATTTTGGTTCACCAGATCAATCACGTTGACGTGTGATTGCCGATAGCACTAATCGATAGAACTAGCTGAGAAACAAGCGAAACGGAGGACCCGCATTGTGTGGTGGTGAATAGTTTAGCCTCCGGAAAGTGTAATAGCGCGTTCGTTCCCCACCTCAGACCTGCGGTCCGAAGTTAATAATATCAAATAATAATATCAAATAATAGCAGTTCCAAGTAGTTAGTGAAATCTCAGAACTAGAAAAATCACTTGCTTTTTCTTTTTTTGTTAAAGTTGATTTGAAAGAGCACTATCAAAGCCTTATTCCGCTCATATCTGTCCGCATCATAGAGTTCAGTTTCCTGCGCAATGAAGGAACATGAGCAGCCACTTGTGATTGATTTCTGAATTGTCGGATCAGCGACATAGGTCTGAACTCTAGATATTGTCCATTACTTACGTGATACAGAATACTACCGTGAAGTTATGATAATCCTCTTTCTCTCACTCTCTCTTCCACTTAAGTGTTCGGTGAAGCCAACAGTGCTTTCGTTGCGCTTGTGCGTGAGACGTAGGTTAAAGACTTGATCAATCCCTTAAGGATACGCCATGCGCTCGAATACACCATAGAAATGATGAAGGCATACCTTGCTTGTACAAGAACTTGCGGTGGCCTTACGATGGGTAGGAAGGACGCGGAGTCGAACCAAGAAAGAATTCGTTATTAATTGCAGGACACGTTTGAACACTGCGTTACACGTGTCCTGAGGCGTAAATTAAGGCTGGAAAAACGTATTTTTGCTTGCACCTATGGTAATAATATCGTCATCAACAAAGCACACTCTTGCTTTCTACCAAAGACTTTTACTTCCGTTTCGTTCGTATGGGGCTTACGACATCGCCTTTATGACACCTTGTCGTCACGTCAATGAAAAACAGTACTTGCTTCAAGCTGTAGTAAAGCAGTTCATCTGTCTTCAAATGAGCTTTTTCGAACTGCGCAATTAGATCGGACGAACTTTCCTAGACTCTTCAGAGAAGAGTTCTTTGCAATTTACTAAATATAGGTGGTTGTTTGCTCTATTGATACTCGCAACAACACTTGTATTAGAGACACTACCTGATGATAACAAAAGCGCGGGAAAAGGCTGATTGCAACAACTTAATAGTCCAGAAAAGAGTGTGTAATGCACTCATTCCAGAAAGTTTGCTCTAGAACAGATGAGTCTCCTGTGATGCATCATTACTAATGAAGGTGAAATATTCAAGTATGTTGGAAGCGCTGCACAGTTGGAAACGATAGTTTTGAAGAAATTTGTTCCGTTTTCTTGAATATCGTTTTTGAATTGAGGGAATCCCACAAAGAAATCGAACAATTATGATTAATATAGCAATAAAAGGATAGAAGGATAAAGCTCTCGGCGTTAATCAGACCCTGAGAGATGCGTCATGCATTCGACTTCGTTGAGCATCGCTTGGAAGTGATTGAATGCATATCTGGCCTTTACAATGACTCGCGGTGGCTTACCGATGTATCGAGCCAGTGCTGCTATCCCAGACAAGTCTGGTACTAATTTATCGACCCCGGAGGAACAAAAGGCTTGGTGGGTTATGGGAGCATGAATCGATTTCACGTGTGTGTTGCAGGGCCCTTCCGACCACTGCGCCGCACGCGCCCACGTAGGAATAGCGTCACATAAACCTTAGCCATAAAGCTGTTGTTTTAAATCGAGATAAAATTATTTTTTGAATTGTGGTATTTTTAAACAATCTGGTCCACCGCTATAGAAAAACACGTATAACTCCAAAAATAACGACGGAAGATGGCGTAAGGCACGACGAAGATTTATGCATATGGTGGTTATTTATTAGGCTGTTAATAAAGGATGAAGCTTTCGGTTTTGATCAATTTCTGAGGGTTTCACCATGCATTTGATTTCACTAAGCATCTCAAAGAGGAGTGAAGCAATTTGTCAACACCGAAGATATGGCGACTTTGATTATCCAGTACGTGGAACTGAACATGAAGCCGACAACGTGTGTATTTCAGGACACCTCAGAACACTGAATTGGAAGCTCAACATTGACCTATTATTTAGTTAACCTTACTAAAAAATCCTTGTTTCGTTTTGCCTTCTAGACGTCGAAATTTCTGAAGCATCACCAAGCACTTTATTCATTTTAGTGGTATCTCCGACTACTGTGGTATGCTGAACATCGTGGGATAGAAGAAGCTAGTCGTGCTGAACTACTTCGTGTATGAATCTTAATGTACATGCACTGTATCTATCACGTTATCAACCAATAAATTTTCGTCTCATATTTCACAGTATTTCACAAGGCGATAAGGCGATGACAGAACAAAGAGTTTTGTGTTCATCAACCCCTTATAGATGCAACACGCTTTCGGCATGAGCACCACAAAGAAGACTGAATGTATAGCTCGTTCTTGACCTGCAGTAGTCTACCTGTGTTTCAAATGGTGTTGTAACCTTTCAGGGGTAACTTCGGTGCTAATATTCTGACTCCAGAGGATAGAATGTATGGTTTGTTAGCAAAGATTGGTCGAGTAGGTCCGAATCAAGACTCATGTACCTTATAACGCACCCCTAGCCACCGCACTTCAGATATCCCACATGAACCAACCTATGGCTGTGATTCAGTAAAATCCTTTTGAGTTCGGATTAGAAAGCGAGTACAAGAAGAAACCGCTTGTAGTAAAACGGATTCAAAGTTGTTTAAAGCTGAAGCGAAAGGTGACAGCTTTCAGACTCCTTAACTTATTATTTATTTTATTTCCATTGCCCATTTTAACTTATAGTGCGTAGTCCATCGTTTTTTTTTTGTTCGATTTCTCTCCTAGTTTCATCATGTATGAATTTCACTTGTTTGATCCACCGCTATCTTGGAATTTTCTTTCTTCATGAAGAAGACTGAAACCGTATCGAACTGATTCATCATGGAATCTTAAGCTATAACTTTATTAAGTGCTCACAGTTTTTCACTATAGACCTTTATCGCATTTTACGGATCTTATAGAGCTTTTTCTTGACAAGGCTGATGTAAATTTGGCTTCGTTGAAGAGGGACAGAAGGCTTGGTTGCTCTTAAGCTGTATCGAACTAGCAGGTGTAGTGCGACTATTACAGGACATCTCTGACCAATGCTCTTCACATTTTCTGATTGGTCAGATTTCATGGAATGTTTAACTTCTCTATTAGAGCGGTGCTCCGTTTACTGAATTCGACTCGATGCGACTACAAACAACTACATCGTGACAACGATCACCTGCGGTTCATCAACTCGAATCAATCCGGCTCTCAAAAAGAAGAGGGCGTCGCGAAGCTCGTCGAATATATCGATATATCGGATATATCGAACCTCGTATTTACTTGACATGCGAAAAGAGTAGAAGAAATGTGTGTCATCAGCGTAGTAATGTTTAGTATGGGATAAGATAGTTTATAAAAGGGCGCGTGTGGCATAGTGGTAGGAGGCGCTCTGCAACACATAAGTTTGAGAATCTGTTGACTAATTCGCGTGTCTCGGCTTCAAGAAATCACAGACAAGCAAACTTGCTAGGAGTCAAAGTACGGTTGATAATGCACCAAGAAAATTTAGAGTCACCGTGATCGGGGTATGACAAAACGTGACAGTGAGCGCTCTCTATTAGAATTGGGCCCGTGTTTTTCCACCATTACAGCGCATTTCTAAAACAACCATGCGTAGAATAGCACGCAACCACTATGAGCTTCAAGATCGACTCCATTATCAGGCTAAGCAAGAGAAATCAAATAGCGATAAAAATCAAGAGGCGGCGGCATGACCACTGTTTCCTTTCCCCAAAATGTTCTTTAGACAGCAGGACCCCAACGACGGAATTGAGATAAAATTCCCCACGTTTTCGGATGGCGTTCTCAAGACCTTTAATTACTACCTCGAGAGAAGGTTTATCTCTAACTTTTCAGCTGCACAAAAATGTGGCACGCCAGAAATTTGAGATTTAATAGATTCAAAGACCATTAGGCTATCGGTTAGTGATGAGGGGGAGTTCGTAGTTATTTCCAGCCATCTAGATGTCAAGTGAGGAACATCCTAGTGATGTTACCCTTTATCGCCCATCATCTGAAAGGGAATACAAAAGTCAATACCGAAAGCTAAACAGTTCATAGGTCAGTGTGGCAAAGGCTGCAGGTTTAAAATCATCGGTTATTTCGCACTTTGAAATCAATAAACCAATATGCCCGTCTTATACTTAGTTGTTAAAATAGTTGGCATCACCTGATGATCTTACGTCAAATAATTCGTCATGGTTTAAGGTTTGACCTATCAGCTCACTTCACGAACAACAAAATATTCCTAGACGCCCACGTAACGCATCTCCTAATAACGAGTACGTGATGGAGTAATTCGACGTTACCGCGTAGTACACCAACGTATCGAATGACTCCGAAATGCACGCCATCTTTGAACTTCTTGTTGAACATGAAGGAAGAATAAATATGCACGGCTTTTCCATACAGCAGCTTATGGCCCACCTAAAGGAATGCCTAAACTGCTCGATTTTCAGATGGTCTGGGGAATATTTCGCCCAAATAAGGGGGATAGCAATGGGACGGCGAGTGGTACTAAGCTTTGCCATTGTGTTTATGTCTAAGATAGAAGCCCCTATTCTCGATCTCCGGCTACCAATCTACTGCAGATATGTAGATGATTGTTTTGTCGCCTTCTCTACTCAGGAGGAGATGGACAAATGCTTTGAATTATTGCACGAGCAGTCTGAGTACATTAGGTTCAACCGGGAGAAACCGAGAAAAAACTGGCTTCCGTTCTTAAATGTTCAAATAAACCTATCAAGTAGCGGTTACATGACAAAGTGGTACCGAAAGCCAAGTAACAAGAACATCCTCGTTCATTTGCTTTCTTCCCACTCTTCACACACAAAGAGGGCACTTGTGAGAAACATGTTTCGTACATCCACCTCTGTCTGCACTACCAGGGAACTGAAGGAAGAATCGCGCGACTTGGCTCGGCAAATAGCCACCTCGAATGACTACAAAATAGTAACCCCAAATAGTAAGTAATTAAATGTGTGCTAAATAACAATTTCGCGATTGCTGTAAAAAAGAGAACAACAGAATATAGAGAATTTTCTTATCAATGCCGAGGTTGATAGAACGTTCGGTAGTGGGTATGTTTATGTCATTCATATATATATATATATATATATATATATATATATGTATATATATATATATACAGCAAGCCAATATAAATAATTTAGAGAAAGGATCGCTCAAGAAGCGGCATGAATATCGCACTGGCTTGTTGGAGGTTCCAACTTCTATAGCGTACAAGTACAATATCACCATATTTGGCCTCCGTAGAGACTACAGTCTAGTTTCTTGTTTCTGTAATGGCCAATTCGCACTACTTCTGATTAATCTCACGAACACATTTTCGGTGGAGAATAGAACTTTCATTGACTGGAAAACACTTTCAACTAAGCTGAGGCACATACAAGTAGCAGGTAATGAAAGTCTCACACAGGCGGCTCATTCCTACTCAATGCATGAAATAAAAGGTCTATGCAAGAAAATCAGTCAATCAGAAACACTACAAGTTGACTGTTATAAAGCCGTGAAGCTCAAGTGGAATGACCACTAAGGCCGATTATCGTGATATATACGTCTACACTGTGGATTTCGAAAATTCCCTAGGAAATCAGAAACTAACCTAAGGCGGGTGTAATCAATTAAAACAGACAGCTACGAAAGGGATGCAGCTAGTTTCAGCAATAACCATGGTCTTAGAATCATATGGAATATGAAGAACGATTCTGTAATGGCATTCTTAACCTTTTTATTTACTGTCTATTCTTTTTAATGGCAGAGTATATTGCGAAATACAACTTCTATAATGCTGACATATTTGCAAAACTCCGAGCCGAAGGTGTCTGCGGTGGGGAGTGAACGCGCTATTGTCCTTTCCGGGGAGTAACGCGTTCACCACCACACTATGCGGATCCTTTTTGTAATGCATTAAAATTTCTTATTAAAGTCGAGAGAGACGTTTACTTTTAAAAACACTCGAACTGATACACCAGCACGGAGTCACACTAGTAATTGGCGGCGGCCAACTCACATCCGAAGTTGCAAAACAATGCAAACAGGTGATAAAAGATGTTCTCAAAGAGAGAAGTGCAGCAGCAATGGGTTAAGGCGGCTGCAGAGTCTGTAAAAATCAATCGCAAGGCCGAACGAAGCTCCGTCAATTACACATTTGAGATGATTGCATTCTGCTGCCCAGGCGGAACCGCTACAGAATCAAAACATTCCATGTTCGAACAAATCACCACCATGGAAGACGATTGCGCGAGAGACAAAAGAGTGGAAATTATGCGAGAGTACATATTACCAGTGAAGATTGGACAATCCAACTATCCAAGTAGTAATAAAAATGTTCTATTCCAAGATATTTTTATATACTTGTGTTATAATGACATACACACATTCACCTGTATCAGCTGTAGCCCCGTTGATCGTCGACTGACTCGAGCGGGCGCCACCAAATTTTCCATTCTTCCCTGTCGCGTGCAGGAGTAGCCCAGTAAGTTCAGCTCGCTCTACGGACTCGTCGAGCATCATATCTTTCTTCTACGCTTTTCGTGAAGAACTCTGACTATAAAGTCGGTGGTCTTCCTGCAGTGCGTTTAACATCCCGAGAAATCCAGTCACTAACGGTTCTTGTCCTTCGGTTGTCATTCATACGCATTACGTGTCCAGCCCACCTTATCTTCGACTGTTTGGTGTACAGAACAGTATCTCTGATTTTTGATTATTAACGCAGGTCGGAGCTTCGGATCGCTCCCCTTACTTGTGTGAAACGGGATACTCCCAGCATCGTCCTTCCGACTGCGCGTTCAGTAACGCTAAGTGAACTTTCATCATACTTAGGCAGCAACCAGGTTTCCGACGCATACATTAGGGCAGGAAGTACCGCTGAGTCGAAAAGGTAGGCACTGAGTCGGGTGTTCTTTGCTCTCTTCACTACATCCTCGATGCTATTGAAAGCTACCCAAGCCACTCATTTCCTTCTGCTCAACTCTGGAGCTAAGTCTTTCATCATATTGATATCACGACTTAGATAGACATAGCTGGAACATTCGGAGATATTCATTCCGCTGAGCGTGAATGGGGCCTACGAAACCAATCCGTTCTTCAAGAACATCGTTTCTGTGATATTTAGTCGAAGACCAATCCTTCCACAGGCTTTATCAAAGTCGTCAAGCATACGTTCCGCCTGGTTAATATTTGGTATTATAAGGACGATGTCATCAGCAAAGCGAGGATGTTGTAACTGTCGACCATCGATCATCACTCCCATATTATCTCATTTCAATGTCGCATGACGTTTTGGAGGGTGACGGTGAATAATTTTGGCGAGATGGTATCGCCTTGCCTAACTCCTCTTTTGACGTCAATGTTATTATTGTTGCAAAATGGTGATATATTGGTTGTGAAATTTTTGTTCAGCTCACGAAGAATCTTTATGTACTGAGTAGGGAGTCTTTGATTATGAAGGGTTTCCAAGACTGCTTCTATCTCAGTTGAATGAAAGGCCTTCTGTAAATCGATGAAATGAGACGGAGCGGTCTTTTGTACTCTCGCGATACTTCAATGAGTCTGTCAAAACCGAGCAGGTCAAGTATGAGTCTGGTGCAATGCAACAGGGTAGCATTCAAGAAAAGGCTATTTGTTGGAAGTCATAAACGCAGCTGCTACTCTATACTCAATTAAACAGTCATAGGTTCTTGAAGGAAAAGGATGAGATAAGATGCCAACGTTGTTCATTTATCAAGTGGTCTTTCAACATCACATTGTACCTACCTCGCCTACTTTCATGACCTCGTTGAATTAATAAACGGGTCACAAATACGACGGTGAATCTTGATAAGATTGATCATCTCCCCAAATATTTGGTTGTATTAATTTGCCCTACGTTGTTGAGGTGCCAAATCAAAGATACTGCTCTGTATGCCAAACAGTCGAAGACAAGGTGGGCCGGGCAGGCAATGCGTATGAACGACAACAGATGGACAAAAACCGTTAGTGAATGGATTCCTCGGGATGTCAAACGCACTGCAAGAAAACCACCGAGTCGACGGTTAGAGTTTCTCACGAAAAGCTTAGAAGAAAGATATGATGCTCAACGAGTTCCGAGTTCCTAGAGCGAGCAAAACCCACTGGGCTACTCTTGTACGCGACAGGGAAAAATGGAAGATTTGCAGGCGCCCGCTCGAGTCACTCGGCGACCAACGGGCCTACAGATGATACCTGTGATACAGGTAATGTTGTTGAGTGCGTATAGCGAGTGGTCAGAGATACAATACGGATCACGTGGTCTTCCAATTAACTTTGCGCCAGAACGAGACTCTCTGTCCTTCTGGGGTCAACAAATTTGTTTTAGAATTGTCTGGGAGAGAAAAGCCACACACTGGTAACTAGAGCAGGTCACTACTTGGGCTAAATGTGCTTTCAGTCACCTCTACGACTCTCAATGGAGTCGAAGGCATGCTACGTTCTTAAGAGATAAATCAATGTCAAGCGCTTTGTGGTTTTATTTTTTGCCAGTGTTTTGGCACATCATATCCTAACGTATGACGGGCGCCCATCATCGATTTTCACCGAGTGTTGGAGCACCTGGTTTACCCCAACATAAACACTGTATTCCGTGCATCACCCTCTCGATAGCGTGCTCGATAATACTGGTCGCTCTTTCATCCTGCTTTATTTCCGCCCAGTTTTGTGATGAATAGATCAGTACTGAAATGTCGCACTTCTAAAGCGGTAGAGGTTTTTTTTTCTTTGCTTCACCACCCTACATTATTTTTATGAACTCCCAATTCATCTCCACTCTAACGCCAGGCCCTTCAGCATTTCGATTTTACATAAGCATCAGCAGAATATGCGAAACAAGTTCCTTGCTCATGCATATCGATTTCTCCGTCGATTTCTGCAAAATGAAGATCGTCCGTGGTTCGTTCCCGCGACTAGAGGTCAAACCTTCAGTCGACAAATTAGTGCCCAATTCGACTGCGGAAGATAAAAATACTCACTTCATACATCAAATCCTACGGAAGTCCATTGTATGGTCTAGATATGTATTCAGTCGCCTCTACGATGTTCAGTGAATTGCAGCACACAGCATGCCCCTCAAGACTTGATCAATGTCGATTGCTTCATCCTTGTTTTTCCTAGATTTAACTGAAGATTACATGCGATGTCAGAATAACCCGTGTTATTTAAACTATGAAACTATTTAATGTTTTAGTCCTCTAACCACCGAGGCCAATTTTGCGTGCCAAGATCATCGGAACGCGTGTCACTGGGGCGCAGTAGAGATGTGCGTTGTCATCAAGATGGACGGCTCTTGGTCACGTTGATGAGGCACGGAGCAGAGGTTTTTTGAGAATTCCGTTCTAATCTTAAGCCATTCACATATTTTTTTGTCCTTGCTTTAACTTAAACGTATCCACTATGATCTTCTGCTTCTGCCATCATGTTCTTGGGCAGTACCAGCTCTTGTGTGTGACGAAAGAAAACTCGTCCAACACCTCGCATAATGTTGTCAGAATTTAATGGAGTTGTGTAAATTCGTCGTTTTCTCTCTCAGCAATCGCGAGGTTGTGAAACAGCATACGTTTACTTCCATATAACAGCACACATACAATAACACACCTGTAGCTGACGTTTCGGCAGAATCGCCTTCTTCAGAGCCTGGAAGGGTACACTAAAAGGCAACATACTAGGTCGAACGCTTCAACTGCACAGACAGAATGGTGAAAAATCTCAACCGTGATTACAAGACCAACGACTTCTCGGAAACCCACTGCTTTTTTCACCTGACTTCCACCGAGGAAGAACAGCCGCTCAGAGTCGCATATGGTTGACGTCTGCACCTCCCCACATTGACGAACGATACGAAGGTACGGGGCAAGATCACGTCTGATCTTGGGGCATTCCTCCCTGCTATTCATCGTAGGATTTTTGGCTTTTATCCAAAAAGCCTCGAGGAGTTTGCACGTTGGTATTTTAGGATCACGTGCGAGGATAGCGACTTTTATGTCGTCGTCTCCGCTGTGCCTTTGCATCCTATGCGTACCTAATGGCGTACCTTGCCTTACTTTTCGATATCCATCAAGGTGTTTTTTTATGCGGATACATAAAGGTCTGCCCGTTTCGCCATTATATTCGTCTCCGCAAATACTACAAGGAATTAGGTATATCGTACTTGAACTCATGCAGTCACCGTCTCTGCCATAAGAGCAAATTACGCTGTTCTGTGATTAACATAGACGGTCGTACAGGCTGTTACGAGCTAACTGAAGGCGAAAAGCATTCCGTGGTATTTCAGTTATCGCTATTGATCCCTCCAGATCTGCCTTTTTTACGCATCGCTTTATCGCTACACTTATTTCATCGCTAATGAACGGTAAGATAAACGGGATTTTGCTTCGGCCAAACCATTCGTTTTGGGGCGTTGCTCTCCTTCTAAACTTACCTCGTATGGTTACTATTTCGTAGTCATTCGAGGTGGCTATTTGCCGAGCCAAGTCGCGCAATTCTTCCCTCAGTTCCCTGGTAGTGCACACAGAGGTGGCTGTACGAAACATGTTTCTCACAAGCGCCCTCTTTGTGTGTGAAGAGTGGGAAGAAAGCAAACGAACGAGGATGTTCTTGTTACTTGGCTTTCGGTACCACTTTGTCATGTAACCGCTACTTGATAGGTTTATTTGAACATTTAAGAACGGAAGCCAGTTTTTTCTCGGTTTCTCCCGGTTGAACCTAATGGACTCAGACTGCTCGTGCAATAATTCAAAGCATTTGTCCATCTCCTCCTGCGTAGAGAAGACGACAAAACAATCATCTACATATCTGCAGTAGATTGGCAGCCGGAGATCGAGAGCAGGGGCTTCTATCTTAGACATAAACACAATGGCAAAGCTTAGTACCACTCGCCGTCCCATTGCCATCCCCCTTATTTGGGCGAAATATTCCCCAGACCATCTGAAAATCGAGCAGTTTAGGCATTCCTTTAGGTGGGCCATAAGCTGCTGTATGGAAAAGCCGTGCATATTTATTCTTCCTTCATGTTCAACAAGAAGTTCAAGGNAGTCATTCGATACGTTGGTGTACTACGCGGTAACGTCGAATTACTCCATCACGTACTCGTTATTAGGAGATGCGTTACGTGGGCGTCTAGGAATATTTTGTTGTTCGTGAAGTGAGTTGATAGGTCAAACCTCAAACCATGACGAATTATTTGACGTAAGATCATCAGGTGATGCCAACTATTTTAACAACTAAGTATAAGACGGGCATGTTGGTTTATTGATTTCAAAGTGCGAAATAACCGATGATTTTAAACCTGCAGCCTTTGCCACACTGACCTATGAACTGTTTAGCTTTCGGTATTGACTTTTGTATTCCCTTTCAGATGATGGGCGATAAAGGGTAACATCACTAGGATGTTCCTCACTTGACATCTAGATGGCTGGAAATAACTACGAACTCCCCCTCATCACTAACCGATAGCCTAATGGTCTTTGAATCTATTAAATCTCAAATTTCTGGCGTGCCACATTTTTGTGCGGCTGTAAAGTTAGAGATAAACCTTCTCTCGAGGTAGTAATTAAGGGTCTTGAGAACGCCATCCGAAAACGTGGGGAATTTTATGTCAATTCCGTCGTTGGGGTCCTGCTGTCTAAAGAACATTTTGGGGAAAGGAAACAGTGGTCAAGCCGCCGCCTCTTGTTCTTCAGCTCTGTTTGATATTCTTTGTTGAGTGTGACAGCGGTGTCGATCTTGAAGCTCATAGAGGTTGCATGCTGTCCTACGCATGGTTATTTTAGAATTGGGCTACAGTGGTGAAAAACATGGGCCCAATTCTAATAGAGAGCGCGCATTCTTAGGATTGTCACGCTCCCAAGTACGGTGACCCTAGACTTTCTTGGTGCATTATCAAGCGTATTTTAACTCCTAGATAAGATAGGAAAGGATAAAACCAGAACACCTGAAGAACCTTCCGCCAATCCTCGTAAACACACTGGCTCGGCTCTTCACACGTTACCTGTCTGAATGTAAGGTCTCTACTCAGTGGAAAATCAGCAAGACCGTGTTATTGTTCAAGAAGGGCGACCTGCACGATCACGATATCGGCAACTACAGCCCAGTCTGCTTACTGTCTGTCGTCTACAATCTTTTAACTAAAGTCATCCTAAACGGGATTGACAGAACACTGGACGAAGGAGACCCATGTGACCAAGCAGGGTTACGAAAAAGATTTAGTACGATGGACCACATCCACGCGGTAACAAGGGTCATTGAAGTATCGCGAAAGTACAAAAGACCACTCTGTCTCACTTTCATCGATTTACAGAAAGCCTTTGATTCAGTTGAGATAGAAGCAGCCATGGGGTCCTTGATAGTCAAGGAGTTCCTAGTCACTACATAAGGAATATTCGTGAGCTATACAAAAATTTCACAACCGGGATATCACAATTCTACAACGATATTGACATCGACGTCAAAAGAGGAGTTAGGCAAAGCGATACCATCTCGCCAAAATTATTTACCGTAACCCTCCAGAACATCACGCGACATTGGAATGAAATAATATGGGAGTGAAGATCGTTGGTCGACAACTACACCATCTTCGCTTAGCTGATGACATCGTCCTCATAAAACCAAACATTAGCCAGGCGGAACGTATGCTTGACGACTTTGATAAAGCCTGTGGAAAGATTGGTCTTCGACTAAATCTCACAAAAACGATGTTCATGAAGAACGGATTGGTTTCGCATGCTCCATTCACGCTCAACGGAACGTATATCTCTGAATGCTCCAGTTATATCTATCTAGGTTGGGAAATCAATATAACGAACGATGTAGCTCCAGAGCTGAGCAGAAGAAAACGAACGGCTTGGGGAGTTTTCAAGAGCATCGAGGATGTAGTGAAGGGAACAAAGAACACTCAACTCCATGCCCACCTTGTCGACTCAACGGTACTTCCTGCCCTAACGTATGCGTCAGAAACCTGGTCGCTGCGTAAGCAGGATGAAAGGTCACTCAGCGTTACTGAACGCGGAATCGAAAGGACGATGCTAGGAGTGTCACGTTTCACACAATTAAAGGATGGGATCCGATGCTTCGATCTGCGTCAACGATCAAAAATCGAAGATGCCGTTCTGTAAAACAGCCGAAGATAAGGTGGGTCGGACATATAATGCGTATGAGTGATAACCAATGGACAACAGCCGTTAATGACTGGATTCCTTGGGATGTTAAACGCATTGCAGGAAGACCACCGACCCGATGGTCAAAGCTCTTCACAAAGAGCCTTGAAGAAAGATGTGATACTCAATGAGTCCGTAGAGCGAGCAAAACCCACTGGGCTACTCTTGCACGCGACAGGGAAAATGGGACATTTACTGGCGCCCGCTCGAGTTACTCGACGATCAACGGGACCACAGGTGACAGGTGATGCAGGTGATTTTAACTCCTAGCATCGATCCTTTGTCTATGGTTTCTTGAAGCCGAGACACGCGAATTATTCAACAGATTCATTAGAACTTGTTAGCGTATAATAGCTGACGTTGCGGCGGTTTCATTTTCTTCAGAGCCTGGAAAAGTCAAATTGACATGCGATCTGCTTAGCCAAAGACTTAAGAGATAAAGTTTAGCACATAAATTTGCATCCACGCAACAAACAGCTTCTTTTAGATACCCACCGTTTTATTCTTTGCAAGTATTCCAATTAATTTGTGCAGAGCAGCCGCATAGACAATACATGGGCGAGGACTGTGCCTAGGTCAGGTCATTCAATCAGCCTGAGTTATGCCGTGGGGTCAGGCGTGATACCAGGACACTCCTCCTAGCAACGCAATTGTGGATTTTTGGATTTAACCAAGAACGCCTCAAGAGTTTTATCCCCTGATGTCTTAGATTCCTCTGCGAAAATAGTGACTTCTACTTCAAAATCTCCGTTATGTCCAAAAAATGAAACGCAAGGAGGAGTGTCTTGTCATCACGCGTAACCTGGCGCCATACCTCAGGCTAATCCAATGACCTGACACAGACACAGTCCTCGCCCATGTATTACTCTGTGCGGCGGCTCTCCATGAACTAACTTAAATACTTACAACAAATAAACGGTGGGTGTTTGAATGAAGCTATTTCTTATGCAAATACAAATCGATTTCGAAACCGACCTTCCCTAAACCACGGTGTGACAAATCAATATGTATTCTTTCTTGATAAGCTTACACGAGGTTGATAAATATATTTATTTTCGGCTAACGTTTCGACGTCTTCGTCTTCCTCAGAGCCGGTGATCCGAGTCGATGGTCCATGCCTGTTGTTCGCCTCGACGTTGCGTCTTCGCCTTCCTGTCGAGCCAGTTCTTCCTCAGCGAGCCATCTTCTCGAATGAGGCATCCTCACTCAGTGATGCCCTTTTATACACGATGCTGATGGTAGATATATAATGACAATGTCCGGTGGTAACAACTTGTATTTCTTCCGGACATACATCATTGCACGCATCGTGCAGAGGTCGGTGTGTTATCAGCTAGCACAAAGCGTAGTAATATTATCTATATCTAATATCTAATATCTACCATCAGCATCGTGTATAAAAGGGCATCACTGAGTGAGGATGCCTCATTCGAGAAGATGGCTCGCTGAGGAAGAACTGGCTCGACAGGAAGGCGAAGACGCAACGTCGAGGCGAACAACAGGCATGGACCATCGACTCGGATCACCGGCTCTGAGGAAGAGGAAGACGTCGAAACGTTAGCCGAAAATAAATATATTTATCAACCTCGTGTAAGCTTATCAAGAAAGAATACATATTGATTTGTCACACCGAGGTTTAGGGAAGGTCGGTTTCGAAATCGATTTGTATTTGCATAAGAAATAGCTTCATTCAAACACCCACCGTTTATTTGTTGTAAGTATTTAAGTTAGTTCATGGAGAGCCGCCGCACAGAGTAATACATGGGCGAGGACTGTGTCTGTGTCAGGTCATTGGATTAGCCTGAGGTATGGCGCCAGGTTACGCGTGATGACAAGACACTCCTCCTTGCGTTTCA